GAGACCTCTCAAAGCTGCTGGCTTGCCACGGGCAGAAGCTATTTCCTGTCTGAGTGTCCAAGGACATTTGAGGGCTGTGGTCCGGCTGAAGCAAGGCGGGAGAAGCCCTCTGCCTTGCCCTCAGGGGGAAACAGCCTCAGGCTCTCCCTGGATTATGAGGTCCCTTTAAGGGTCATTGCGAGGGACATCAGCTCACTCAGGCCACTGGGCTGTCTGCAATATCAGGGAGATCCAAAACTGAGGCTTTAACAAGAGAGACTGCACCTCCTCTCTCTTCCAGCTTTAATGAATCCATCCGACAGGAACACCTGCAGGTGTCACCTTAGACCAGCACAGATTGGAGTGAACTACTTGATTCTGTGGCATGATTGCTCGAGACTCTGCCTCCCAGGTTGCACTTGGCAAGAGGTTGCCTGGAGAGGAATCTCTAGCTCATGGGCTGAACCTAAATATGGAAAATCAATGCCAGAAATGTTGGTGCAATTAATGAAGTCTTCCTGAGAAAACAGGGCTGTACGTATCAGTGTTTGTGCCTTTACTCCCTTCTACGTCAGGAATGGGCTCCCGCCCAAATCTGACAAGCCCAAGGCAGGCGAGGCTCTACAGCATGGGGCCACAGCAAATGCCCAGGGCAGGTTGAAATCACCACGTGGAATCTATGGGCTCCTGCAAGGCCTGTGGGCGTGCATGGATGCTTTACTTCCCACAAGCCTTGAGCGCTTGGCAGGTCACATGACCACACTGAGCCAATCACAGTTGCCCATTTGATGGCATACACTGATTGCCTTGACCCGGGTCATGTTCCCACCCTGGAGGACATTTGGAGTCCCTGTGTGTTGAGGGTGGTCTGACCATTGAAAATCAGGACCTATTTGAAGAACCAGGGCATAGGAAGAAAAAGAGGAGAAAAAAATAAATCATTTCACGGGGCTGGCCCCGTGGCCGAGTGGTTAAGTTTGCGCGTTCCGCTGCAGGCGGCCCAGTGTTTCATTGGTTCGAATCCTGGGTGCAGACAAGGCACTGCTCATCAGACCACGCTGAGGCAGCGTCCCACATGCCACAACTAGAAGGACCCACAACAAAGAATATACAACTATGTACCGGGGGGCTTTGGGGAGAAAAAGGGAAAAAATAAAATCTTTAAAAAAAAAAAAAAAAGCTCCTTTAAAAAATAAATGAAAAAAAAAATAAATCATTTCAATTATGCAGCATGTTGGGTACCTGCAAATATTCCCAAATTCTGAGGAGCACTTCCCAACGCTTAGAACCTAGTTTCTGGAGATTCTTAGGACTCACTAGGCTGTAATATAATATCATCATTACAGCAAAAAATGACTTTTACGCATTTATCCTGCACAGTACACTATTTCCTTAGGAAGGAAACAGCACGTGCACAAAATGACATACAGTCACATGCAGAGACAAATAATGGTTCTCTCTCTCTCTCTGCCACACACACACATACACACCCCAGCAGCTTGAGAAAAGCATATATTTTGCAACACCAGACACTCTCCTTAGCTCCAACCCTGGTCTCTTGGGACACACTTTATGTAGGAAGCACTGTTTAACCATTAGCCAACACACAACTCCTGCTCTCCTAACTCTGCTTCGGAAATGCCTAATATGATTAGGAATTCATAATAAAAGATTTTTCCTAAGCCTCCTGCACTAATGGACCTTTCAGAATGTTGATTGCCCCATTTTTGACATGTGTCCTTGAATTGAGGGTTTTAAAAATTATTTTAGTGCCTGTCATTTATTGGTAGACAATAATTAGCTTAAAGAGGCGGCCTTTTGGCAAGCCTGTAACCCACAACTGAGTCATCCTCTCCATCAGCAGCATGCCCTCCAAGCACTACTATTTTCAGGAAGGCAAATTTCCCTCATCTAGGTCCAAAGTGAGCTCATTCCTGGCCCTCTCTAAGGGTTCTTCTCCCTCCCTCCCCCCCTCCCTCCCTCTCTCTTTCTCAATTTTGCTTTCCTGGATGGGGCTGAGGACCACAGCACTGGTGACCATGTGGAGAGAGCTGAACACTATATATGGGACAGCTGGGAATTAGGGTGTCAAGAACCTGGGTTCTTTCAGGTTCCCTAAGCAAAGAGGGATCATATCATTGATCAGCCAATCCAGGACACCGTTGAGAGTGAGAGGGGTTCTACTGGTACCATCTTAGGACATGTGAAAATTAAATAAGAAACCTTAACTAAATTAGAGTCAGGAGGACCAGTAGGGGGAGCTCTCACACATTATCAAATACACCAAACAGGAAAAAACAGAGTTTGCATCTCCCACAGGAAGTAAAATTACTCCACTATTGAAGGGAGACTTCTCTCCACGCCTGAAAATAGCCCAGCCAATGGGAAATGCTGCAGCTCAGCCAATGAGAAACACCGCAGCTCACCCAATGAGAAATGCCTCAGCTCAACCAATGAGAAATGCCTCAGCTCAGCCAATGAGAAGCCATTGCCTCCCTGAACTGTTATTTTCCCTCAATGGATTTTTGTTTAGAACAGCCCCTCCCTACCCTACCCTTTTTCTCTATAAAAGCAGCTCCTCTCCTTTCTTTTCCAGATTTGCTTATGGTTTGCCATAGCACGCACATCTCAAATTAGGATTATTTTGTCTATTCCCAAATAAACTCATTTTGAGACAAAATGACAGGCAAATTTTCTTTTTAAGTTGACAGACAGCAGACACATATTGGGGCTGTCCCCAGCAAAACATGATGTGTGGCCATCCCCTAAGCAGCATTTCCTAACCTCCCTGCTTTAGCTCTTACTACTCTCTCTCCTTGGATGGCCCTCCTCTCTCTATGATCATGCCCCATCCAGACCAATGCTGCCTCTTCCATGAAGACTTCCTGTCCGTGCTTGGCACCAGCCCATTGATGTCTTGGTCTTCAACTTGCTGAACACTTAGGCTCATATTATTGATGTCAGGGTTAGCTTTGCTGACTTCGATCCCCTTTGTTTTGCTAGTGACAGAAGTCCAACTCAAGTCAGCTTAATCAAAAGGAAAAAAAATGCGGGTGTTAACCGGCTCAAATGACTGAAAAATTTTGAGCGTTGGTTTAGGCACAGCTTGATCAAGGGACTCACGTAAAGATTGGAGTCTCTCTTTCTCTCTACCTCTTGGCTCTGCTTTCCTGTGTGTTGGCTTCAATTTCAGGATCTCTTCTTTGGGAAATCAAGACTGCAGCACCATTGGAAGCCCATGCCCACTGAGTAGCAGCTGTCCCCTTTGGATGGGACACACGTTCCCTTCCTCATTGCAGTCCCTGTCTCTCTTGTTAGGGAACCTGGGGGGAGGGATGCTGCAGAGGAAGAGGAAATGATGCTGGGCAGGCAAAGAGCCCAGATATCAACCACCCCAGGCCACCCTCCTGCTGAAAATATGGCGTGTTGGGCTGCAAAGGGTGTTTTGACAAGAAAGCAAGCAAGCCTATGTCTCTCTGGCCTGAATCTGAGGTCCTCTCCTCAACCAACTGTGCTCATTCCTTGGAGACCCCTCTCCACCTGACTGAGGGAGGTCATTGTCACTAGACAGCTCCCTTTTTTGAGGTTAGCAGATGACAATGAAGTATACTGTTCTATTAACACTAATATGCTTCTCCTGGCCATTCTCTAGGAATTTTCTTTGCCAGGAAAGAAGGCAAGAGGCACATTCAAATCAAGCACACTTAACGAGATTAATCTCAGTGAAGGATCAGCATTTGTGGCAGAAATGTCCTTATATCATTACACGCTTTGGTTGTCTGTATGCAAACAGCTTGATTCCTAAGGCTTCCAGAGCCAGTGCAATCTGTGTGTGTGCGTGTCTTTTTCCTTTTTGTAACTTCGACCTCTCTGACCACAGCCAAGAGCAGTTCATGTGAAACAGCAGAAGAGGTGAAAGGTAATGTTTGGGTTACTTATAAGTCATTAGAAAAATGATCATTTTCTCTCCTTGCGGACATTTTAATTTCCTGAAATCCACTTAGGGGATGCATTTGGGACTTAAATGTCTTGTTCAGGTCACTCACACATGACCTTCAGCCACTGGACCAGAGAGGAGGTGTCTCCCTGGAGCAGCTTTCTCTGCCTTTGTTTCACTTCCCTCCCAGGAGATCAGCATGTGACCCCACACCGAACCCACTCATGGCCCTTTCTAGAGGACACCATGTTGTCTATTTGTCCGCATGGCAGCCTGGAGGAGATGAGACACAGGGTTCTGCATCCAGCAGCCGAGACTATGAAATCAAAGTCTTTGCTCGCTGACTCGACTCCCCCCGACCTGGGTTCTGCACCCTGACAATTCACGTTGTCTCCACCAATGCCACACTCTTGTTTGTCCCATCTGTGCCAGGTTCTCTCTGGACTACTAGTCTCTTTACACACGTCCTTCCTCCCATCTGGAATGACATTTCTCTTCTCTTCTCAGCCCTTTAAGGCACAGTTCAAGTGGCATCTCTTTCATGAAATTGTACGTTAAGAGTCAGACTTCTTTGGTTGCAAGTGACAGAAACCCGAATGGAAAAGCTCCAACCAAAGACAGCCTAGGCTCATGAAACCACATGTCAGAGAGGGACCAGGGCAGGGGATGTGACCTGCATTCTGCTTCTTAGTCTCTCCAATCTGCTTCTCTCTATCCTCAGACAGGATACTCCCAGCATCTATAAGCAAGCTGCTAATACCCACACCCCCTCTTCCGCCTTCAATGTATGGTGATGGGGGTGATGAAGGAAGCTCTCCCTGGTCCCTCTTCTCTGATTAGCACCCAAGGGTCAGGGATGCCTTTAGGTAATGAATCATCTCTGGTTCAATTTGGTACCTTTTTATCAACTAGAGAAACTGGCAGTTGTAATTACTCAAAACCTGCTGGTTGAGTGAAGAAATAACATCAAAATAATAGTTTAATTAGGTAAAACTAGTTAAGTGTGAAAAAATAAAACTAAAATGTGCTTTTTGTTTCTGTTAGACTGAGACAACGGGTGGATTAATGCATTTGACATTCTCCCACTGGTTTATTAGTAACCATAAAAACTCTCATTTGTGTAGTGTTTTGTCATTTATGAAGAACTTCCACAAAATCCCATGCAATTCTCACACTGCTCCAACTAGGTGGATCATCCCTGTTTTTCTAGATTTGGTGACACAGACACCCAGAAGCTAGAGTCAGCCAGACCTGGGTATGAATCCTGCCCAGGAATCCTTCCTCTTTGCCCACCCCCCACCCAGTCACTCACCACTGACTGACTCAGAAATGCGGGGTGAAACCGTTCTCTCTTCTCCAGGTGTTGGGTCTTGCACTGGTGTCACTGTCTTCCCAGACCATCTTGCCAGCTGCCTCCTCACTCGTTTGCCTGCTTCCAGTCCAGCTTCTCTCTCATCTGTCCCCAGCTAGTGGGGGATACCTGAATGAGAGCCAGCCATGTGCCCTATCTCTGCCCTCTACACACCTGAATTTTACTCTAAAAATATTAAAGAAGGTTTTCTTGACTATCTCTTGCTCCTGCCTGCTCTCTTTTCCTCTAGGTTGTTACTTTTGTGCTGTATTTTTTCTTCCCAGTTAGAGATCTTCTTCAGTGTTCAGGGGCTCTTTGCTGCCCTTTCATATTTAAAGACAAGGAACTGAAAACCTGCCCAGAAAGGTCTGTGGACAGAATTTGCCAGTCAGGTGGCTTTCTGGAGGGTGATCTGGCCAGGCTGACCCATTTCAAGATCACTGTCAGTGTTTGTTGGCTTTATCAGGCTTGTCAGTCTCCCTGGAAATACATCCAGTCTGCAGGGAGGCACCGAGAGAGCAGTGAGCCTGGCTGCTTGCATTCTGGAGCAGAGCCCCGAGAGGGCACTGAGGTGTCTTCATTGGGGAGCAAGTTGACTTTCCCCTAATTCTTTTTTACATTGTGAGGCCCCCTCCATCAGACAAGCCTGGGGTCTGAATTCACTCATGGTTTGCTGTCTCCGCAGAGTGACTTTGAGCCTCTGGCTAGTGGTCGGGGTGGGGTTGGGGGGCAGGTATTATCTTGAGATTCTAGAGACCCCCAGGGAATCCTCATGTTTCCAGCTGCAGCCATGCCTCCGTTCTCAGTTGGTCATGGTACCCCAACACTAAGCCTTTTCAGGTCTCTGCAGAGTGAACTTCATTTCTTCTTGGTTGCCCCCAACGTCAAGTTACATTTCAGCCACCTTTGGTTGCCTAAGTCAGTTACCAGCTGTCCGTGCATTTTGCAACTTCCAAATTAGATCTGTGTCATATTCTCTTTCTTTGCTTTTTCCTTGTGAGTTTATGTCACCTCCCACTTTCTTTATAAAATGACTTTACTATAATTTTAATGGTATTTCTGAAGAAAGTGAAATAAAGTGATACAAAGAATCATGTTTAACAGGAACCTACGTGAACTTTCTATTTGCACATATGGATTAAAGAGATGGAGAAGATAACTGTGTTGACAATTCGGTGCTGCCCCGTAGATAGAAGTCTCGCTGGTACTATGGAGAGAGTAGCCCCTGGCAGGTAATCTGGTGAGGTGGTTCCAAGAACTTGCTAGCAGGTGACCTTGGGCAAGTTACTTAGCCTTTCAGGATTTCAGTTTCTCAACCTGTAAAATGAGGATGATCATTATATTTTCTACCAAGTTGGACCATTGCGAGGATTAAATGAATTAACAAATGGGAAACAACACGTATAACAGTCTCAGGAGTGGAGTAAATGCTGTCTTTGTATTTGCTATTATTATTACTATTATTAATTATTATTATCCTTCAGGTGGAATAAGTGTTGTCATCCACGCAGACTCAGGGTACTCGCTCAGTTTGTCACCCACTGCAAACCAGTCTCATCAAGACAGGGAAGACCAAGCTGGGGTCCATATTATCCTAATTACTCCCTTTTCTTTCCTAGTCCATTTATTCTGACCCTCAGGACATGAGTTAGGACAGCAGTGTCTCTCTTTATTTTTATGGCCTTGTTTTCCTTGGTTGGTGTCACACCATTAAGCCAAATACACATACTGGCCTTTAGAAATTCAGCATAGCCAGAATTTTAATGTCCCTGCAGATGGATGAGGGCAAGAGCAGTCAAGAAGACGGCTTACAGTGAGATCCTCCTTTCCATTAGCTCAGGAAGAAAAATGACGGGAGTCCATTGCCGTCAGTTGGAGGGTCATTAGCATTTCCTTTATTTTAGAAATAGCTCAGGCGCTTCCTTAGCTGCACTCCAGTCAGGCAGCTGAGTATTTTGTATGTGACATCCTTCCAAGTCTTCTCAGTTGCCTGGAACCAGACCAGGGAGTGACCGCTGGAAAAGTTCCGGTGGACTAAAAAGGGTACAGTGGCTGGATCGGATTAAATGGTCCATTTGACATTTGAGTCCCTCTGATGCTAGTCATTAGTTTGTGCTCCTGCTAAAATGTTGTCACCTAAGTTATTAGGTCCCCTGTCTTTTGCTAAATGTCAACTTATTTATGACAAATATCAATTCAAAAAGTATTTTAGCATCTACTATGAGCTTTTAATTTATTTCTTCTTTCATCCATTTATCCATCCAACTCTCCATCCATCCATCCATTCATCTCTCCATCTATTCATTCATCTCTCCATCCATCCATCCATCCATAATTTCAACAATCCACAAACAAGTACCCTTAGCTTTGTCACTTCCCCTCTCTGAGAGATACTGGGGATGAACCAGGCCTCAAAGAGCTCCTTACTCAGGCAGTCATGTGCACAGTACTCCTGTGCAATAAATTATACTCTTGTGTCACAGAGGCATGAACAGAGATGGTAGAGGTGGTTAGAGGCAACAACTTCAGTTCAAGAGATTCAGGGAGGGTTGGAAGGATGAGTGGAGGTGGCTAGGGTGAGACGAGAACACAAGATTTTCTACATGTAAGGGAACACGCATGCAAAGTGTCTGACCTGTGAAAAGCAGGGAATATTTAGAAAAAGTAAGTGCTGTAGATGAAGCTCAGTCTCCACGAGAGATGAGTGAGGAATAGCAGGGATAACGCTGGAGAAGTGGACAGGACAACGGACCCCGCACTGCCAAAGCAAATGCCTTTGAGCTAAGCAAGTATCATTTATGTATAAAGAAGGCAGGGTTAGGGCATGGGGAATTCTGGGGACTGAGGTACACAGGACATGTCTGTCTCATGTAAAAGTAAGCGCTGCACGGACAAGCAGTCCACACATTTGGTCACCTCTGTGCTTCAACCCACAGGCTACAGGGGCTCGAGAAAAGCCCTAAACAGGCAAGCAGCATAATCCTGCTTCTTGTACTCTTCAAATGGATCTCATATTGACCAGTGCTACTGTCCCAAGATGTAAGCTGATGTTGCAATGGGATAAGACACAGGGTGCATCTCCCTGCTCTATGCTCTTCTGGAGGTAGTGACCAGAACAGGATTCCTAGTGATCCAAACTTCGCAGTGCCATGGCCATCCCATATATTATCATCAGTTCCAGGACAGACTAATTTCCCAAGCACCCTGCACCTCAGAAGCTCTTCACTAAGAGACCTGTGTAAGAGCAGAGTCAGCTTTTGGGACAATTCCAGAGATGAGCTCCTTTAGAAATGTGTCTGCGTAAAACAGGAGTGCCCAAGACGGATGAAAAAGTGATGGGAGAGTGATGGCTTTTGAAACTAAAAAGACTTTATCATTCTGTTTTGGGTTTCTCTGAACAAAAGCCTCGCATTGATGGAAGACTTCCGAGTGACATCAAGTTCAGATTTTGAAGAGATATGGTGACCCATGATGGATCAGTTAGGAGTGCATTTGCATAGGGAATCCAAATAACCTTGGTGTAAACCAACATGGCACATTTTTCTCATGTAACAACAGGTCTGGAGCCAGGCTGTCTGGACCTGGTACAGCTGTGCCCTGAGCCAACAGGGACACAGGCTTTTTCCTCGTGGTCCAAGGATGTTTCAAAGCTGTGATGTCCAAGCAGGAAGAAGGAGGAGGGGACTCGAAGACAGAATCTCTATATCAGAAAAGCCAGCAGCCTCTCAGAAACTCCAGCATGCTGCCATTCTGCATTGCAAAGGCCAGAATTATGGCCCACGGTCACGCCAAGCTGCCAGGAACTGTGGAGAATGAAGTTTCTATCTTGCCAGTCTTCCACAGGATTAAACCAAGTGTGAAGGTAATTCAGAATGAGTGTTGAGAGACTCAACTTTGGGTGTCTGTCATAAATTTTGAGAAGGAAGTTGGAGGACCCAGCAGTAAACTGTGAGTCCTGCGGCATCCAGAATGCCACCCAATTCTCCAGTTATCCAGAGCTCAACTACCGTTTGAAGCAGAGGTGGCATATGGCTTCTTACTGGCCAGACACACCTCACAGAAGAGTTTCATTTCACCTGAGGGCCTGCTCTGTGCTTCTTTCTTGAATCTTTGAATTAGTTTCCTATATTAGTAAAACATATGGCATACAAGGGCAAATTTTCTGCTTGAAAGATAGGAAAGTTTGACCCTTCTGGTCCCTCCTGCCCTCATGGCAGCGACCAGCTGGAGCTGAAGAGTTGCTGCCTCCTCTCAACAGTCCCCCCCGACTCTGGCCTCTGTGCCCAGACTGCTAAATATACGACATGTCTGTCCCCGAAAACCTCTGGACGTGTGACCTCTTCTCACGTTCATTCATCAACAATGTTTGACCACCTATTACGTCCCAGACATTGTACTAAGAACTGGAAATCCAGAGATGAAGAGAACATCAACTCTTTCCTCAAAGAACACAGAATCAACCACAGAAAAATATAGCAAAGAGGCAATTCCAAGAGAGTGATGTGTGTCTTATAGAGAAACGGCTGCAGTGCTACGAGGCCTCAAGGAGGGGGTCTTAACGCAGAATGCGTTGGTCAGGGGGAAATTCTTAGGTAAATGATGCCTGTAATGAGCAGAAATGGCCCAAACAAAGAAGTAAGGGTTTCTAGTCCGGGTGTAGGAAGGAAGAGATCACGCCACCTTCAGGAGACCACAAGCATTTCCTAACCAGCTAATGACACTGTAATTTTGTGAACGCTTAATGGCTCAGGTACAATTTAAAGACTTTTAATACTCTCTAGAAAGACCTGATTGCCCAATGCTGTTGTGTTCACTTATCTCCATTTTGCAACACTGGACTGTCCAGCTGACTACCCGTTCCAGTAGGAAGCGACTGATTATTCACTTTTTATATTCTCCAAGTGCTCAAAAAAGTGCTAGTTTCATGTGGAGGACCAGTTATGGTTAACACCGGTGCTGCGGCTGCTCAGCGGAGCGTGTGAGCTGAGGGGAGCATCTGAACAACAGTGGGGAGGCAAGCAATCCTGTGCCTGGGCTGCTCATTCTTCCGGATCTGGACTGACTCTGTCATCATCGAGGATCAGTACTCTCTATTCTTGGAGCCACAGGGTGAGCACAGTGTCAGGAACAAACCAGGGGCCCTTCCCTTTTTGTTGAATTGATCAATAAATAAATGAATGGAAGGAGGAAATTATTCTGCAAAATGAAAGGAAATGATGTTTCTGAAGCAATTTCCCTAATCCAGAAGTTGGCAGGCTTTTCTGCAAAGAGCTACATAGTAAACATTTTAGGTTTCTGTTGCACTTGCTCAACCCTGCTGTTACAGATGATACACAAACAACCGAGCGTGGCTGTGTTCCAGTATATCTTTATTTATGAACACTGAATTTCAATGTCACATTATTTTCAAATGTCAAAAAATAATATCTTCCTTTGATTTAATTTCTACCATTTAGTAATGTAAAAGTCATTCTTAGTTCCTGGGTCATACAAAAATAGGTGGTGGATTGGCTTTGGCCTTCAGGCCACAGTTTACTGACCACTGACCGAATCCATATAAGCCTGTTCTGAGCTCCTGGAGCTCAGCTGTGGAAAGGGGGTCATCTGTTGAGTGTAGACATTCTGTCTTTGGTTAACAAGAGCTAATACACATGGAGAAATCAATCTGCTTTAACTCAATCTAATGTGGTCATTAAAGGCTCCTCTTCTTTTATTATCTAATACAGGGGCGGAGGCAATAAAACTCTATACTGGCTCCCCTAGGAAGCCAAAGAATTGAACAACTAGGCAACCAATGGGATAATTTAAAACTGTCCCATTATATATGTGGGGCCCATCAAGAAAGGGTTGGGCTTTTACAATTCAAAAGCACTTCCCAAATGTCACCACTTACAGCCAAAGGCATCTACACATACAGATATGCAGGCAGATGTGGGGAGCAGTATGGGGTCACCCTCAGTGGTCTAGAGAACTGACGAGCAGGTGGCAGCCCCAGGATGCCATCAAGCAATGTCACTGTTCACCAAAATCTTTAATTTTTATCATCTCTGAAAACGACTCCAAAACTCTCTCTCAAACTGTCCCTAAAAAAGAGCTCACAGACCACACGCTGCTGTGGCCTCTGATCACTGTTACTTCTCTTGATGTCTTCCTGTATGACGTGTTTTTTTTTTTTGCATTCCCATGATGTAACACTTCTCAGTTTAAAACAAAATGCAAAATACCCTCTCTACAGTTATATTTTTACAAAAATAATAACCAAACATCTTTCATATGCTCATTCTATACAACAATACACTGTCTCTGCTTCAATCCAG